CCCCAAAACCCCAAAACCCCAAAACCCCAAGAATCTACCATTCATAAATATATGTGGAATAATAAACTCAATAATATTTTAATAGAAATATTGCTCAATTTCAATGTCTTAAATAGAGTAAAACATCTTTGACAAAGTTGGCTTTAAAGTATCACCAGAGTAAGTAAGACTTCACCTTTAGTTTATATATTTTCTATAGTTTGAATCTCTCATTCTTGATGATCAGGAACTATACGATATCAGTCTTGAGGACAAAGCCTATCTGGAAAGTTTTAAATGCTGCACTTATCTATCTCTGGCTAATTGCAAACTGAGATTGCTAGCTAACCTGCCTAACTTGCCTAACCTAGTGAGACTAGACTTGTCAAGTAACTAGATCGTGGCCAAGGAGTTAATTCACATCGCGAATAACTATCTCAAATTAGAAACATTGAAGCTCGGGAATAATATGATAAAACCTGAATGGGAGAGTCTGAAGATGCCTCTGACTAAACTTGGCGAGACTCTGATAAGTTTGGACTTGAGTGCTAACCTCATAGGAGAGATATAGAATAACTACTATAGAGAATAGATATTTGAGTTGCTGCCTGTGCTTGAAGTACTTGATGGCTATGATAAAGATAATAAAGAGGTTTATAGTGATAATGATGAGGATGATGAGTATAGAGATGTGAATTAGAAAAAGAAAGGCAATCTCAGAAATGCATAGAGAGGTCACCACATTACAACAAATGACGATAATGAGGAGAGCAAAGGTGAAGCTGAGGATAATGAGGAAGAGGATGAAGAATACGATGAAGAGGATGACGACGAGCCAGAAGAGGTAGAAGATTAAGAAGAAGTAGAGGGTTATTATGAAGAGGAAGAAGACCCAGCTGTTCAGAATTAGGAGGGTAGATTAGAGGGAGATGAGGATGAGGAAGATGATGATAGCGGAGATGTATTGTCATTTGACAACATCAATGGGAGAAAAGCTTCATACTTCTGAATCAGATTTGGAATAATACAAAATGACTTAAATGCTTGTGATGCTGACTAACACTGTCTGATGAATAAGTTGGGATTGAATTTATAATTAGCTTTAATTAATCATTAATCTTATAAACATTTGAACAATATTATTAACTTAACTAACAATTTAAAAATGAGTGGATAGCCTATAAGAGCTTTTCATGACTAAAATTTATTTAGCAATACGTCTAGTCAAACTTCAATACAGAATGATAGGATTCAGAACATTATGAATATTGCCCAAAATAGTTCCAATGTTGTCACTAATTTTTCATCCTCTGACAATCCAAATATTAATAGTTTCTCTCCTCTCAAAAATAGTAAAGCAACTTCTGTGATAAGTTTGAATGCTGCTGATCAAAACCAGAATTCAAGTGGTTTATTCCAGTCTAACTAACCGGTTAAAACAATCAACTTAAGCAAGATTAGATTCCTTAAGGGAACTCCCTAGAAAAATAATAACAACATCTCTAATACTCTTTAATAGAACGACAATGATGGAGGCTAAGGAGCAGGCAATGGAAATGACTTGCAGAAATCTATGAATTAATCCTTCACTTTTACTGTTAAAGAGGTCTAAGATAAAAGCATGAAGAAACAGTTGCTTCAACAGCCTAATTCAATAGGCCTTAACAATAACCTGTCAGGAATTGGTGGGTAGAAACCACGTAATAATTCGGTGTTTAAGTACGGCAGGAATAATGACGTACTCTTAGACGACAACACATATGAAAATAATCCACAAATAGGAGCATCTTAAAACAGCCCCTTTAAAAGATTGACTACAGTGAATGTAGTACAAAATGTGGTTAATTACAATATGAATTCTTCTTCAGCCCAAAACTTTCCTCTTCCTCATGAATAGTAACAAGCATACTAAAGGAAGTTTAGTAACATCACTCAGAACAAAACCCTCTTTTAGAAAGATTTTACCGGAAAACAAAGTGCTCAGTCCTTGTTTAATTACGGAGCTGAGCAATAAAACTAACAGCCCGAAAAGGAGGATGAGGATTTCCATGATAGATTAAATTATACGATAAATAATAATGTGCTAGTAGATGAGTAGATCTACTCCAATTAAAGTAACAATATCAATTCAAATGACAATCTCATTCTCTAAAGCTAATAATAGCTGCCATAATATGAAGAATTAAAAAGAGGACAATACACATAGAATGATCCCTAGAGTTAAAATAAATCCAATAAAAATGATTTCGTCGTAAATCAAAATAATTAGAACTTAAACTCTACGGTAGTTGAAGAATATAAGGTAGAGGTAATGAATCCAAATAAATTAAAGAAGTAGTTTAAGAGATCGAATTCTAATGAGAATGATAACAAAAATCTTGATTAAGACAGCGATTATGATTATTACTCTGAGGATGAGACAAAAGAAATAAAGAATAGCAGTAACGTATATAACACTTAATAGCAAGCCAAATAAGGTTGGGGATAGTAGCAATAGTAAAAATCACAGAAACTCTAGCCATAATAAAGAATGAACAATGGAGGGAGCCAACATCAAAGCTATGGTGCTCTTTCCTCAGAGTAAGAGTAGGATAGAAGAGATACCAATAACGATGAGTTAGAGGGTACTTAGGTTACTGATCCTGGAATCATTATTCAGAATCAGAAGCAATCTCAAAATAATAGATTTAACAATGATGACGAGTAGTAACCACCCAACTCATCTCGAAGACTATAAGAGGTCAATCCAAACAATAAAGCTAGGGCTAATTCTACTACCCATAGATTGGCTGGCAATCGTCGTTAAAATCCTAACAATATGATGAATGCATAATCTAGAGATCCTTTAGTGAAGAATGAGGAGAATGATCAAAATCAGTAAATAATTGGTAATACTTAGCAACCGCCATCAAGAGCAGATAAAAATGCAGCCAAGCCAATGAAAGGTTTTGATGATTGCTTCCTGATAAAGCCCATTTTAGAAACAGCAATGATGTCTGGCTAAACGAAGAGAAGCGAGGATGACCAAGATTATCTTAGGATACCTGGCTTCCCTCTCGCTTTGAGAAATCATGACTCTTATATACAGTACATTAATATGCTAATGTATGATGTTGGTGGTAAATCAATCATGATGCAGCCAATTCCCTTCGAGGTTGGCATGTTATAGTTTGAGATTCAAAGAAAGAAGTCAGGTTTCAGTATTTTACATCCATCATTCCATTTGTACCTCGAGAAGGGTGGTGACGAGAAAGTTAGTATATTATTTGCAAAGAAACGCCCATTCAATAAAACAGCTAATTTCTTGATATCCACTGAGAAGAGTAAGAATAGAAGAGGTGGAGAGGAGTGTCTAGGTAAGCTCCGTAGTAATGAGAATAAGGAGCGTTATTAGTTGTTTAATGATGGCGACAACCCTAAAAACATGCATAAGGTGCCGCTTCAAGGTATTAGAAATGAACACATGGCTATTCAATACAAGTATGTACCTTGCAGCATTGGTAAACTTAGAAAAGCTAAGGTAATCATACCTGGAGTAGATCCAGCTAATGGTAAAGCAAAAGAATTCAAGCCATTGAAGAAGGAAGATACTATGATAAAGAGGATTGAGGATCCAGCAAGTTCTGGCAACTTCTATGCATTCGTAGATAATCCTCCTCAATGGAATCCAAAGACCCACGGGTATCATTATGATTTTAAAGGCAGAATCTCTGAGGCATCAGTCAAGAATTTCTAAATGATCCCTTATTAAGATGGGCAAAAAGGAGTCAATATCAGAGGATTTGTAGCACAATTTGGTAGAACTAACGATAACGTTTTTAAGCTTGATGCATAGTACCCTTTCTCAATATTCCAAGCATTTGGCCTCGCTTTAACTGTATTTGACTGTGAATGATAGCAGTTTGAGTGGAAGTTAATAACTTAGACAAATTTTATAAACTGTATTTGAAGAAATATATAGCAGAGTGATGAAACTAACTCACAGCTACTTAATCTTTCTATCTCTTTAATTTTATCTTTGCAACTTGATTAATTTATCTAATAAAACTTTTTAAACTAATCTCACTACTTGCTATAAATAATTATAGGTATAGAAGATTATTAAGTTAGAGAGCATTTGGCTGAAAATTAATTATCCCAAATGAAACTTATGAGCATAATTATTAATTTAAATTATAAAAATTTTAATGGAATTAAGATTAGCCAATAATATTCAGCGGAAATTTTTAGTTTTATTAGCAGCACTTGTGATACTACTACCATTAACCACAGGATCTCTAGTTGATATATTAAATCATTTGAACACGGAATAGTAAATTGACAAGGTAAAGTTAAATCAGATGCTTTTAGATTTGCAATTAAAATAGCAATAAGAAGATATTCAAAATAAAGTATTTGATTTTGATTAGGAGGACACTTTTAGTAAAAGTGGTGACCAAGAACAATGGCTATATGATTCTGAGTATAAGCTAGATGATGAATAAACAAAGAAGCATAGGCTACAGCAAGCATAAATAATAGATAACATGCCTTTTTACAAGAACTTCCTTACTTGCACAATTTGCTAGGGCTTTCAAGCTCAAGTTTAAACTTTCCTTACTGACATAGAAAATTTAAAAGCATTTCGAGGAGCAGCTGGTTTGTACTGCTAATATTTCCTAGGCTATTCAAATGAGACGTGCTCATTTGCTACAGGCATTATCATAAGGGAATTGAATGCAGGTATTTTCCAATTAGTACTTTCGAGGGAATATCTGTGTTCAAGGGTAGTGCCTGTTTGCACTACTCCATACTATTCATAATATTTGGCACAAGATTACGCAACCAGAATACTTCAGTCAAAACCAACCTCAATATAATCTGATACCTTTATTAACTCACTCTACTCAAGTATTCAAGGGTAGAATGGAAGAGCAACTTATAATATCCTTCATCTGACTGATGCACATATTGATAGGATGTATGTGGCTGGAACAAAAGCAAATTGTGGAAATATCTTATGCTGTAGACAAATTTATGGCACTAGTGGAGAACAAGCAAATGCTAGAGGCGATTACAGATGTGACACACCCTCCTAAACATTTAATGACTTGCTTTCTCGAATTGCTGCTCAAGTAACACCAGACATTATATTCGTAACTGGGGGTATGATGGCGAGAGATTTAAACACCACAGAAGATCAAGTAATTTCTAATTACAGTCTTGCTCTAGATTAGATCAGAGCAAGATTCGGTTCTGCACAAATATACTCTGCTTTTGGTACAGATGAATTTCTTCCGAATTAAACACAGTTCTTCGCATTTAGATCCACAAGAAGATAAGTCTAACTAGCCAACATTCTTACTGCGCCAAGAACATCAACTAATGCTACTGCAGTCTCAGAAGCATAGGGCTATGGATACTACTCAGTTTATAACCTGAATACAGGATCTCGAACCTCTACTCTATCAAAAGTAATGCTTATCGTTCTAAATACCTAAGTTTGCTATACATATAACTCTGGATTACTAAGAGAATAAAATGATCCTGCTGGAATGCTAAGTTGGCTAGAAGGTAGACTAAGAGCAGCTGAAGCGAATTAATGGTTGGCCTTTATTATTGGGCAAATCCCTCCTGGAAATCCCAATTGCAATAGATAGTATTCAATCAGATACAATGTGCTGATGGAAAGGTTCTAGCACATTGTAAGACTCCAAGCATATGGCTATGAAGGCACAGATTCCTTCAAGATTCTAAGATCCACTACTAGTCAAAAACCTATTGGTATTGTTCAAATAGGAGGACAAATTGGTACAAAGGAGTTTAACCCTTCAGCAAGGTTATATACAATGGATGCTGCTCTGCATATTCCTACTAAGATTGATATTTACAATTTTAACCTTGATAACGCAATTCAAACTAACACTTGGAACTTTAACACAGTGACCTACCCAGCTAATTACGGGATGTAAAATCTAAGTCCCTCAGAATACAACTGGCTAGCCAATTAGATATTAATCAGTGAGTCGAGATCTAAGACTTTATACAAGTAAGCATTATTTGGATTTAATCTTCTATTAGTTCAATGAGAAAGTACTGGAGTCAAGATATTGATTGTGTTGATACATGCTAGCTTGAGTTATACTGCTAAATTTATTACGCTCACAATGAGGACACAATGCAGTGTAGAGATAAATCTTTTGATCTTCAATACGGTCTTCCTTATGTACTAAGTTTTTTAAGTAATCCTTGGGTGCAAAGAACTTGAAATATCTTTCAAGAGTGTTTGTTTATTTTTTAATTTGTAAGTTCCTATTCGGGAAATATAATTCTTAATGATTTATACCTCAAATATTAGACATTGTAATTCAAATTATCTATTGAAAATTGCTTTAAGGGGTTTTGGGGTTTTGGGGTTTTGGGG